TGACCGGTGAGCCCGCCTCTCTGTCTTAAAAGCACGTGGTGTTTCCTGTCTTGCAGGCACTTTTCATGCCTGTCTTCCAAGTACACATGTGCGGGCGTCCCCGCCGTCATGAGCACCTTGCTGGCCAACATCAACGCCTTCTACGCACATGCGGCTGTGTCCACCAATGTGCAAGTGTCCGCCTCTGATCGCTTTGCCGCCACCAACTTTGGCGTGAGTATCAACCTTGCCTGTTCTTTGTTACCTTCCTTTTCTGTGCTAGCGCATCAAAGCGAGGCCCAGACGTGCGAGGCAGGTGCTCCGCCTCTGCGGCTGCAGCCCAGACCCGCGGGACACTGAGCATGACCCTCCCTGGTGGTTCGGGGCGCTCACATCTTGCTCGCAGCTACGTGGGAGGAGACACCTCTCAGGGACCTCGCTATCGTGCTTCTCTGCAGGTGAAAGTGTATTTGAAGTGCTTTTAGCAAGCTAACTTTTTTCCTGTCTTTTTAAGATGGGTCTCCCTATGCAGCTCAGGCTGGCCTTCAGCTCACTTTGCAGCCAGGCCGGTCTCGAACTTGCAGTGACCCTCCTGCCTCAGTCTCCCAAGTGCTGGGATTACAGGTGTGCACCACCACACCTGGCTTAGCAAAATAACTTCAATGGTCAACAGAAATCTCATTAAATTTAATCTTCATATGTAGAGTGACCTCTTCTGATGGAGAAAACATCGTTTTGCAAGGGCATACTGGGATTTATGGGAAGTTCTCCCTGTGGATGAGCAGGGATCCATCACTTCAGGTCCCATGCCCTGGCGACTGAGGCAGGCTGTCCCTGGGGAGACCCTTGGGTCGAACTGCCTTCACATTGGTACTGGTACTGGTTTCCTCTGGTGTCAGTGGATGACAGCACAGCTGGTACACAAGAGCCTAAGACAGTTACCTGCACCTGACTAAGGCGCCTACCTGAAGTACTCAAGGGCATCAAGAACACACGCTCCCAAGGAATCTTGCAAGTCTGTCCCTGGCACCCATCATGAAATTCATTCTCTACAAGTGCTGTGGAAACTGGAATTGCAAACACTGTTCCTAGGGCATAAATGAAGAGTGACCCCAGTGACACAGTATGAGCCTCAAGAAGGAAGCGGCAGGGATGGAGAAGTGCAGATTACAGACACTTGCAGGACGTAAAGTCAGCAACCCAGCAACTCTGTCACTGGTGACAGGGCAGGGAAGGACAGAAGCACCTGGATGACCAGCCTCCTGCAATGGCAGCATGGGGGGCAGCAGTGCTGTGAGCATCTGTGTTTTATACTCTCCCCCTTCCTCTCCCCTCCTCCCTCCCTCTCCCCTCCTCCCTCCCTTTGCCCTCCTCCCTCCCTCTCCCTCTCCTTCTCCCCATCTCTCTCTCTCTCTCTCTCTCTCTCTCTCTCTCTCTCTCTCTCTCTCTCATTTCATGGAGGAAAGTAAGATCCTCTGTAGCAACATGATTTCTAGGGTACCATGACCACTCTTCCCGCTGTGCCCAGATTGGCTCACTGTGCAGATGTGATGGCAAGTGTGTGTTGTACAACAGAACAGCTGAGCGCACCGGGAAAGGTGCAGCCTAGTTAGCACAGGTGTACTGGTGTGGGCTGCTGCCCACCTGAGCGAGCAAGTGTGGGGGCTGGGCAGGAAAGAAGGAATGAAGAAGCAGAAGGCCTCCTGAAAGCAGCCTCGGGGCCCTTGAGGCTTCTGTCTCCATGGTAACTTAGTGACACCACTCAGTTCAGTTATCCAAGCCTGCTTTTTGTCTGTTCCCTAAAGATCACAGCTCTCACTCTAGAAGTTAGTCAAACTGAAGATTCAGATCAAAGGAGGTTAAAACTTGGGAAACGGGTTTATGAAAGTGGAAGTCCTGAAGTGGTGTGAAGGGCCAGGTGCTCCCTCCCACCCTGCTCACCACAGCCCAGGCCACAGCCAGTGAGCCCTGTGGCCAGCACGCCTCTGGCCTGACCAGGGAGCAGATAGCACTCTCTAGCTGGCTGAGTGAAACGCCGTCAGAACCAAAGACCAGGCCAGGGGACGCGTGGTTCTCGGAACCTTGCCTTGCCATCTGCCCATGACCCAGGCATTGTATGTTAGGAGACAGTTTGGGTTCTGACATTCTGCCATGCCGTGGTGGAGAATACACCAGCTGTGGGGGTCCCAGGCCCTCCCCACCTCTGAGAAAGCAGTTGTGCCTGCATGGTTAACATCACCATCAAACCCCTGGGAAAACATGATAGCATGCTCTGTATACCACACTGACTGACGGAGAAGAGCACGAGCTGGCATCAGCGCCCTGCAGGCTTTGGCGCAGCGTGGTCATCAGATGACTCCTTGTAGCGCAGGCTCAGCCGAAGGAGCGCTTCTTCCAGCATCTCTTCCAAGTGTGACTTTCTGAGTAGGCGAGTTGGCAGGTGAGTCTGCACTGTCTCCTGTTGCCCGTAACACCTTTGCTCAGCCACCTGCATTGAGTATGACACCTGTCACCTCCACCATGGAGCCCCAGGTCATTACCACCTGTGGAAATGACACCATCCCTGGGACCCAGGGACAGCTACGCCGTCCTTCTGTGGCCTCCTCTGAGGCCCCGACCACATGTGTCGTGACTCTGAAGTGCGTGCCAGCGTGGAGACAGCCTCTTCACCCGGGACAGTTCTCAAGCAAGCCTTAAGCCATGCTGAGGTGCACTGTGTCCAGAAAGGGGTAACACAGCCAGCCATCAGGACGGAGCTCAGATAGGAGGGGGAAAGAAAGGGTCCCAGCGGGGCCTTCAGTGCCCACTGCGCAGCACTGAGTGGAACGCCAATTTCATGAGGGGCAGGTGTGGACACCTGAGTAAACTATCGTTCTTTTGTTCAACAAAATAGAATACAACTATCCAACACCAGGGTTGTAAAGGGGAGTTCATAAAACTGAGTTAACACCCATAATGATGAGTGAAAAAGCAGGCAATATAATTCTAGAATATTTCTCCAGCTTTGAGACACATACAAACATACATGTATACTCCTACACACACACACACACACACACGCAGACACAGGTTTAAGAAAAATACTGTAAGGAAACATGGTAAAATACACTGATGCAGCTACTGCTAGAATTAAGATTTAAAGATGATATTTAGCTTATACATTTTTGTATTTGACTCTATAACTAAATTTTCAATTTTTTAACGATAAATTTGTACTAGCCAAGAGTACAGTGCACCCTTGTAATCCTAGTACTTGAGAGGCTGAGGCAGGAGGATCCCTGCAAATTTGGGGCCAGCCTGAGCTATGTATCAAGACCCTGTCTCAAAAAAAAAAAGCACTAATTTTATTAGAATAACCCGAAAAAAGTGAAAGTGGGCCCAAACCAGACCATTCTCTGAGGGCTTAAGCCAGAAGAGAGATGGCAGAACTGAGCAGGAGCCACATTTGCCATGAAAAGAGAACTTGGTTTCACTCTCTGCATAGGAATTTTTCATTACTGAATAAGACAAATTTGAACAGGCTGCTGGAAAGAGTCGGGAGTTGCAAGGGAGGGAGGAAAGGGGAGGCACAGGTCACGGAGGACTCCACAGTTCTCGCGTGTGAGGAGGGTGCGCCAGCCCCAGGCAGTGGAGGCAGGCTTTGACTCTGCAGCCCAGCATGGGAGGTGCCTCCTCCCACCTTCCAGGGGCTGCCTGGAGGCACAGGAAGCAAACCCGGGGAGGGAGGATCCTGGAGCTGCTGAGGGGAGCCCGTGGCCAGGCCTGAAGCTGCGGCTGGGGTTGGCATCAGGCTCCTCGCGACTCATGGGTGGTCACCGTGGACAGGATCACATGTAGCCGTGCGAGGACAGATCCGAGCCCTGAGCCTGCCCAGGGCTCCTGTGGGCTGGCACCTGCAGGAGCAGCTGGCGCTCCAGAATGGCTCTGAGTGGGGTGCTGATGTCTAGTGAGAGCTGGGGTGTATGCAGCTCCACGCTCCCCTGAGAACCGCAGGCTCCATTGCCAGCAGCAGGAGCTGTTTTTTAAACTGCTGCCCTCCAAAGTGGACCAAGGGAGAATTTGTATGACATAAACTGATACACGCTGGACATCAAAGTCATGTGCTTTAGGGACAGTCTAGCTGTACATCACAGGAAAATACTGTTTGTGGGCAAGATCAAGGAATCTTACCGGAAAACACCTCCAGGAGAGCTGGAGAGACTCCCAGGTGGCTGTGGGGCTGGGAGGAGCAATGCAGGAGGCAGGAGCAATGTTTTAAATTGGCGGATGACTTTAGGAAATTTCCTCTGCAAATTATCTTAAGGTGTGAGTATCAAATAAATTATCAGTAAGCTGGGCGTGGTGGCCACACCTGTCATCCCAGCACTCAGGAGGCTGAGGCAGGAGGATCGCTGGAAGCTGGAGGCCAGCCTGGGCTACATAGTGAGCTCAAGGCAGCCTGAACTACACAGTTAGATCCTGTCTCAAAATAGAGATGCATAAACCATTAGCTCAGTTGGTATTTGTTCAGCTGTTTTCCCAAGACCACGCTCCCCTGTGGCATGCTCAGGGTTGGCTCAGCACATTTTGTCCTTCCTGCATTCTTTCTCTTTGTCCCTTTGTTCTTTCAGTACGTATCTATGTGATAATTCACAGGGATTTCTGTGGAGGGAAATAAAGACACTGAGAGTCGGATGTGCACACTCGCCTTTAAGGCTCGCGTGCGAAGGAGCTGCTCGGCACGCGGGTAGCCACGCAGCACTCTCGCGGCAGGCGCAGCTCTGGAGGCGCCACCCGGCTGGCCAGCGCGCTGGCACTGAAGGGAGCGGAGGACTCTTCCCTGAAGTTCCTGAAAGCTCCACTGAGGAATGATGATTGGATTTTCAGTCCAAAGTGTAGTAGAGAAGCTGCCCTCAGCCTAGGAAGCTATTTGAGTAAGGACAAGGGAAGTAAAGACACGAAATGAATTCAAGAAAGTGCAGGTAGGGCAGCCAGCCTCGCGGGCAGGGAGGGCAACAGTGAAGGCTGAGGCGGAGGCCGGGGCAAGGGATGGGATGGTCGTGGAGAGCCGTAGGATGGGACAGGAGACGAAGACCACGCCGCTGTGTCAGCGTTGCCGAGAGGTGACTGTTAGGAGAGGGAGAGGGGTCCTTGGATAACAGAAAATTCAAGCCCAAAGGGACTTCACCTGAGAATGGACATACAGCAGCACGGCAGGACGGCAGGAGGCTTCCTCAGGAAATGCAAGTGTCCCAGGGAGACAGACGTCAGGGCAAGGAGCAGAGGGGAAGGCAGGGAGCCAGGCATCCAGGCCCGCAGAGCTGTGGAGGAGAACGAGTCTCTGGCTTGGCTGGGCCACGGTCTGGCCAGCAGATGGGCACGACCCTCTCCCAGTGCGCAGGCAGGCCAGAGGGGTCAGTCCATGCGGGCTGCAGGGAGGAGTGTAGACGAGCTGCCAGGAAGGAGGGTGGGAGCCCTCCGAGAGTGAGCAGCGGCCCAGGTCGGAGGCCCCCACGGGCGCGCGCTGGGAAGAGCCTGGCTCCCTACTGTTGTTGGTGAGGGGGCAGGAGACGCAGCCCACCTGCTGTGCCGTGCGTGGCTGAGAAGGTGACCTTCAAGTAGGGATGCGGAGCTTCCAAGGGAGGAGTCATCCTCACAGCGAGCACCTGCTTGAGCAAGCCGGGGTGCAGCCAGGGCCTCCTCTCGCCACCCACCCATCTCCGGGTGCTCTGCTGCCGGGGCCTTCCTGGGCCACTGCTTCTGAGGACAAAGGCTCTGGAACATTTGCATGGAAAGCAGTGGAAGGGGTCTGAGCTGAGCCGCCCAAACAGCTTCAATCACTGTCTTAGTTAAGTTCTTCCTCTTCACCCTGATGGTGCCGCGTGCATTTAAGGGCTGGCTCAGTCTGCGAAGACATCTATAGCGTTTCTGTCATGTCACATAAACTAAGCACGCTAAGCAGGCAGAGCCAGCTCTGCCCACAGATTTGCAGTAAAGGAAGGAGCCAGAGCTTGAACTCAGTGCCCCTGCAAAAGAGGCTGGAGGGTCCCGCGGGCTGGGCAAGGTGGGCACGGTGGCCGTGAGGTGGCAGCAGGCCACAGGAGGAGTCCCCGCCTGCACACACAGTCTGAGATTTCCTGCCTTCTCTGAGCTGTTCCTTCTGTGCTGCCAGTTGGCACCCGTGAAAGTTAGGAGGGGATGGGGGTCCCCTTCAGAAAGCTGCCCAGGGGTATGCACCTGGCAAGAGACGCTCAGAAGAGAGACACAGCAGGGCCGAGAAGGGGCAGAGGGCTCCATTTCCCAAGCTCAGCAGGCTGCAGCCCCGGGCTGGCTTAGTGAGCAACATGGTGGGAAAGGCCGCAGGAGCAGCAGAGTGCACAGAGACCTAAGGCCCTCAGGCGCCAGCCAGGCCTCTGAGCCGGCACTCGGGAGGCGCCTACCTCGCCCAGTCTGCCCCGGGCCTGTGGCTCAGTCCTGCTGCCCAGCTGGTTTCGTGTGGCCCCTCAGAGGATTCTCAGCACACTTGTGTTGAAAAAATAAAAGATTGTTATTTGGTGATACATGAAGATTATATACAATTTGAATTTCAGTGTCTGTAAATAAAGCTGCTTTGGAAAGCAGTCATGCTGGTCTGTTTACGTGCCGTGGACCTCAGCTGTCCATGGTATCGGGTGTCACAGCCTAGCCCACGCAGCTAGCGGAGTCAAGGAGGCCACCTGCGAGCCCTGCTACGTGGCGTGCCGACCCAGCCTCAGCACTCTCATCAGCTAATTAAACCTCAGGTTTTGGTAAATGAGACTCAGCATTGCCGTGATTGATCGCCCCTTACTAACGGACCCCTCAGCAGCTATAAGGGGCCACACCATACTGGGCCCAGCCCAGCAACGTTCCAGCGTCACTCCTCGAGGTGCAGACCCCAGGCCCTGTCTGCACAGGCAAGCCCACTAGTACAGAGAGTGGGGGGAAGTGAGATTGCGGCTCCGCCCTCCCTGGGGTTCAAAAGAATCTCTGAACATTCCAAGAGCAGCACACTTAGCTGCGCATCATCCGTATTGTCTGGAATCTCTGCTGAGCTCAGCAGCCCCCTCCAATATCCTATTTTCCTTGAAAGAAAATTCCCCAGCTGGGCCCTGAAGAGCTGGGCAGGGCCCAGCTGTGCCGTGCGTGTCCCACGGGAGGCAGAACTCGGCGAACACGTCCGCACGCTTGGGCACCTCAGGCTCTTGCATGGAGCCGAGGCAGAGGATTCAGGGCGGCTGTGGGTGGATGGCGCGGGGCAGGGCAGGGCAGGCGGCAGCAGGGCTTTGCCCTTCTCTCTGATGCTTTTACTTTCCCTTCACAGGCCTGGACCAGGGTTCACCTTCTTGGATGAGCTCAGGATGAGAAAAGGGGAGACTCCCAGAGGGCAGGAGGAATAAAGGTCCAAAGCTCTCCCTAATAAAGATGCTGCAGCCAAGCCTGGTGGAGCAGAAGCCTGCTGCCCAGTGGGGGCAGCTCTTTAGCTCCTGATACTGATATTTAGCTCACTACATCAAGATCAGTAAATTCAAGGGAAGACAGTTATACACGCCATAAATCCATCACTTAGGTGAAAATGCTGGGGAACTATTTTATTTTGTCAATATCTTCCAAAATGTAATTTGGTGTTTCTAGACCATTAACATAGGCAGAGAGTTTTCTTTCAACTCACCTATTCCTGCATTAGCTAATTTCCCATCACTGGGACAAAATACTGACACCCAGAATTAAGGCAGGAGAGGTGTAATGGAGCTCACAGTTTGGGGGTATGGTTCAGGTGGGCTGCTGCAAGGCAGGAACATCATGGCAGAAGGGGGTGGTCCAACAGGCTGCGCACCTCCTGGCCTCCAGAAGGCAGAGCGGGGGAAGGGTGCCAGCCCGGAGGGGCCCAGGACACACCCAGTGGGCACAGCCAGGGCGTGCAGGTAATCTGCTGGTATCAAGCCATGGAAATTGACAAGTCAAGATTAAAGGTCTTGGTAATCCCTCTTTTAAATTTTTTTTTTTTGGTAGGAAAACCAAAGCTCAGAAAATGGAATGTCTAGCTATGTGTAGGTCTGCATGTGGCTTGGTTGTCTCTCCCTTGCTTGTATGTAATTCGCACAACCTCAAGTTCAGGTGCATTACATTCACCTATTGGCAAAATGCCTCGCTCCCCCTGCCGCCCACGCACTCCTCAAGAGCCCCGCAGAACCCTGTCCTGATCCTGGCCTCCAGAGGCAGAGCCGCCGCCTGGGTGCTTGACTTCTGGACTCCTTCAGCACTAAGATACACGCTGCTTCTTAAAGCAGTCAGTCTTTTTAGATTATGAACTTCGTATCTGCTTCCAAAAGGAAATGCTGTTGAATTGTGCTTGCTAGAAAGCAACAGCTGTTTCCACTTCGAAGGTGGGCCGTCTCCAGGCCTGCGGAGCGCGTCCCGGGTGGGTGAGGCCCGTGTGCCCGAGCACCGGGAGGGGCGTGCTGGCACGGCACCCTTCTGAGTCAGCGCAGCTGGAGCTGCAGCGAGCACTCGTCTGTCAGGCGCCAGGGCTCTGCCTCAGAGCACAGCTCTCTGGGCCCTCTGTGAGCACGGCTCACTCTTGTCCTCCATTGTGTGGGTGCAGAACAACTCAATGGGAAGAGTTGGACTTAGCGTAGAGCGCAGGAGAAGCCCCACGATCTTGGTCAAACTGCTGACATCTTCAGTCTTCCTTTCTCTAAAGTGGGAACAATGACTCACGCATAATTTGAGGATTCGATTTAGAGTAGCCATTTAATCCTGTACTCCTGTTTTGTGTTTTCTTGGCACAGAGGGAAAAATTCATAAAGCTGCTGGACCAGTTGCACAACTCTCTAAGGATTGACCTGTCGAAGTACCGGGTACGTACCGCGTCATTTCCCCGCAGGTGCCCGGTACGCGTGCTCCATGTGATGTCATAGTGTGAACCTCCCCGCTGCATACAGGGACTGTAAGCATGCCCCGTTAGGTCCTGCCACGCAGCCATGGACCTGACCCCTCCCTTCCTGTGCTGTCCTGGCCCCAATTAAACTACAACAGTCCCAACAACACTCCCTGTGCATGCACGGTGCACCTCAATAATTATGTAATAACCATCATTCTCTCCTCCTGGATCAGCATAACTGGCCACAGTTCTATTATTTCACAACCAGGTAAAACACACGCACCTATACAGATGCATGTTCAGGTATGCGGAATGTGTGTACACACACACACTTGCAAAGTGGCTTAGTTGCAAAAAAAAAAAATCCAGTTACAAATTTAATTACAAAAAAACTCAATCGATCAAAAAATTAAGCATTAACTTTCCTCTGGTAACCTGAACTTGGAAGATAACAATATGTAATATGACAACCACTGCTGATTCCCTGTCATCTTGGTTTGAAATTCCATGTCATTTTTAATATTTTCTAATTTTTTTATTCTCTTTAAAATAAAAATAAAACAAGCACATAAGAAGTAAACAGAACTGCTCCAGCACGGTGGCAGGTACCCGTGGACACCCCATGCTCTTGAACAGTCCTCCCTCACTGGGTGCTCCTGTGTGTCCACGCCGTGCTGCCCTTCTGCATTGGTTTTATCTCTGGCCTCATGACATGCCTAATCACATGTAGGTCTGGGGCCACCACCCTGTGCAGAGACCCCATGTCGGGCCCTGGGCAGGATATGTGGGGCTGAAGGAGCGTGCCACAGGGCTCGCTGCTGTCGGTGCCCTAGGAATGTCTGGAGGCCCCTTGCGTTTCTCTCGATGGCTCTCTACAAAGCGAGTCTCAAAGAAAAATAGGAGAAACCCTTCAGTGTTGAGACTGCTGCTTCATTCAAACATTTCTTAATTATGCTTTCCCCTTCCCACAAAATTACGAACATCTGTGTTGTTAAATGGCACTTCTCCCCAAGTCTCTAAAAGAAAAGTTTTTGTTGAAATTTACAGCACTTCAGAAGAGACTATGCGGCACAAACTTATACTTTTCTTTCAAGTTTCTTTGCAACTGAAAGTAAATATATTGCATGAATAACGCCCAAAGGACTTCTGAAAGTAAAAGCACCTGACTGGCAAATCGTGAAGGACTGTCAAATGCATGCTGCTCTCCCTGCTCTGGAGAAGCTACTTACGGGCGAGTCCCCACAGTTTTGCAGCAGCATCACTTGGTGCCCTTTGGTCACATGCCAAGGCAGGACCAGTGGCTTTCTAAGACAAAGAAGAGCACACGTTATTTCCACATCTTTATTTTCTACACAAAACATTTGAGGAATACTTTGGGGATATTTTTTAAATGCTACGTGCTTACTCGCCTCTTTGCTTCCTTACTCACTAGTTTCAGTTTGTTTCCCACTGGAAATTTTACCCATTTTCCACTTTCTGTTGACCAGGAAAACTTTCCTGCCAGCAACAGCGAGAGGCTGCAGGACCTCAAGTCCACGGTGGACCTGCTCACGAGCATCGCTTTCTTCAGGATGAAGGTACTGACCTGTCTTCTTTTGAGGCTGTCAGGGTGACACCCACCCTGGTCCACTGGCTCAGCGCCACCAGGCCTGCGCTGGGGGACTGCCCCGCACAGGTGGTCATCCCTACTGAAGACCCTGTGACTTGTGGCTCAAACTTGGTATGAGACTCACTGTCTCTCCAAGCTCTTGGTGCATGTGGATCATTAAGAGAACCCTAAAGAGAGGTACGTGAAATGGGGCTCGCTGGCCTCAGCTTCACTCCTCCACATAGAAGGCTGCTCTAGTCTGCCAACCGGGTGCTTCCGCTCCCTGTGTGGCAGTGC